CGCGGCAGTCGCGATACAGACGCAAGCACAAGCACGCAACAACACAGTATCCCGACACGCAGACGTGACAATCGGGAAGCATCGACACAATCGTGCCTGCCGCCCTTTGCCAGTTGCGGTGGTTGCTATGGAAGGCGCGCCGGGGGCGGTGAGGGAGATTCTGGCAGGCAGCCCCGCGCTGATTGGGCGGTCAGGAGCTTTCTCTGCGTTTCTGCCGCTCTGTCTAGAAGATTCTCGAGCTCCACCACAGCCTATATCAGCGCCAATTCCACCGTTGCACCCAATTCTCCCCCATCGAATTGCTTCTTACATTTGCACCACCACTTAGACAACTTGTCTACCATCCTGCTCTCACATATACCCCTCCAGTAGAGCCAAGCAGTCGACTCACCCCCACCTAATCTGTAAGAGCTGCCTCTCAGCCTAGCCCACCACTCCAGTCCACTTTTTCTGACACACCCCGCAGTCACACACACAACCGCCATCATGTCTTCGGAGACTTTCGAGTTCCAGGCCGAGATCTCGCAATTGCTCGGCCTCATCATCAACACGGTCTACTCAAACAAGGAGATCTTCCTGCGAGAACTCATCTCCAACGCCTCCGATGCGCTCGACAAGATCCGATATGAGGCACTGTCAGACCCCAGCAAGCTGGACTCCGGCAAGGACCTCCGCATCGACATCATCCCCAACAAGGAGAACAAGACCCTGACCATTCAGGACAGCGGTATTGGTATGACAAAGGCCGACCTCATCAACAACCTGGGTACCATTGCCCGCTCAGGAACCAAGCAGTTCATGGAGGCACTGTCAGCCGGTGCTGACATTTCCATGATTGGCCAGTTCGGTGTTGGTTTCTACTCCGCATACCTCGTCGCTGATCGCGTCACTGTCGTCTCAAAGAACAACGATGATGAGCAGTACGTCTGGGAATCCTCCGCCGGAGGCACCTTCAAGATCGCCGAGGACACCGAGGGCGAGCAGATCGGCCGCGGTACCAAGATCATCCTCCACCTGAAGGATGAGCAGATGGACTACTTGAACGAGTCCAAGATCAAGGAGGTCGTCAAGAAGCACTCCGAGTTCATCTCATACCCCATCTACCTCCACGTCCTGAAGGAGACCGAGACTGAGGTCGAGGACGACGAGGCTGAGGAGACCACCGAGGGCGACGAGAAGAAGCCCAAGGTCGAGGAGGTCGACGATGAGGAGGAAGAGAAGAAGGAGAAGAAGACCAAGAAGGTCAAGGAGTCCAAGATTGAGGAGGAGGAGCTCAACAAGCAGAAGCCCATCTGGACTCGCAACCCCTCAGACATCACCACTGAGGAGTACGCCTCGTTCTACAAGTCGCTATCCAACGACTGGGAGGACCACCTTGCCGTCAAGCACTTCTCCGTCGAGGGTCAGCTCGAGTTCCGCGCTATCCTCTTTGTGCCCAAGCGCGCTCCCTTCGACCTGTTCGAGACCAAGAAGACCAAGAACAACATCAAGCTCTACGTCCGCCGTGTCTTCATCACCGACGACGCCACCGACCTCATTCCCGAGTGGCTCAGCTTCGTCAAGGGTGTTGTCGACTCTGAGGACCTTCCTCTCAACCTGTCCCGTGAGACTCTCCAGCAGAACAAGATCATGAAGGTCATCCGCAAGAACATTGTCAAGAAGACCCTCGAGCTCTTCAATGAGATTGCCGAGGACCGCGAGCAGTTCGACAAGTTCTACGCTGCTTTCGGCAAGAACATCAAGCTCGGTATCCACGAGGACTCCCAGAACCGCCAGTCGCTTGCCAAGCTTCTGCGATTCAACTCCACCAAGTCTGCTGATGAGCTGACCTCCCTCACCGACTACGTCACCCGCATGCCCGAGCACCAGAAGCAGATGTACTACATCACTGGCGAGTCTCTCAAGGCTGTCCAGAAGTCGCCCTTCCTCGACACCCTCAAGTCCAAGGGCTTCGAGGTCCTCTTCCTTGTCGACCCCATCGACGAGTACGCCATGACCCAGCTCAAGGAGTTCGACGGCAAGAAGCTCGTCGACATCACCAAGGACTTCGAGCTTGAGGAGTCCGAGGAGGAGAAGAAGGAGCGCGAGGCTGAGGAGAAGGAGTTTGAGGGTCTCGCTAAGAGCCTCAAGACCGTCCTTGGTGACAAGGTCGAGAAGGTCGTTGTCTCCCACATGCTCTCTGGCTCACCTTGCGCTATCCGTACCGGCCAGTTCGGCTGGTCAGCCAACATGGAGCGTATCATGAAGGCCCAGGCTCTCCGTGACACCTCCATGAGCTCGTACATGTCTTCCAAGAAGACCTTCGAGATCTCGCCCAAGTCTCCTATCATCAAGGAGCTGAAGCGCAAGGTCGAGGCTGACGGTGAGGATGACCGCACCGTCAAGTCCATCACCCTCCTTCTCTTCGAGACCTCGCTTCTCGTCTCTGGATTCACCATCGACGAGCCCGTCCAGTACGCCGAGCGCATCCACAAGCTTGTGTCTCTCGGCCTGAACGTCGACGAGGAGGTGGAGACCGAGCAGGAGGCCAAGGCTGACACCTCGGCGGCAGAGGCACCAGCGGCGGCTGGTGAGAGCGCTATGGAGGAGGTTGACTAAGCGTATCGCCTTCAGTTCGCTTTCGAAAAGTTTGGTTGGCGCTTTGATATCCCCTTCATGTGTCATGGCTTTCCTTTCCTTGCTACACCTCTTGCATGACGGAGCTTAATCTATGCCGGCGTCTTAGAGTGGTGATTTCACGCTTCACGAGTAAATGCATTTTCCCACATGTACTCATACCTTAGGTAGCTGAGCAGCCTCAGTAGTATCATGAATGACGTTAAAGTTCAAAAGATTGTAGTCCAGATATCATGTTGTGGTGATGAAAGTTGGAATCCCAACTTCGCTTCGTCCCGTATCCAAGTTTCAGATCGCATCCTGCCCACTTACTGACCAGCTTTCGTTCGGCTCTCCCTCCTAACCATGCTTATTCCTTCACGTGGAACTGAAACTATCAGGGTTCCCGCTGTCTAAGGCCGGTGTAACGGTGATCGTCCCGCGCTGGAAAACAGGATCTCAGCTGGGGCATGTCGCTGTTGCACAACAGCAGGGTTCAGCACATCCAATGACGTAAGACGCATCATGTCGATAATGTCTAGAACACGGATCTGTGGCATCGGAACTGAGATGATCTGTTCGAATATTTGATTTGATCTTTCAGCACTAATACGCACGACATATTCACTTGAGTGATCTATCAAATTCCAACATGTCGGCAGTAGACCAGCTCAAGCAGCAGAACGCTGCTTTGCAATGTAAGCCCATCGTTCTACCAGGGGGTAGTTTATCTAACATACTTGCAGCCAGTGTAGGGAACTTGTCTAAAGTTGCCCAAGGAACAGGCCCAGGAGCGAAGAAGACTACCGCGACTCCCACCAAGGCCACAACATCGACTGCCACGAAGCCTACTCCTGTCATGAAGACTGTTGCTACTGCTACTACCGCAACTGATGCTGCTGCTGCTGCTGCTGCTGCTGCACCTGTGAGGAAAGCCCCTCGGAAATTGAATGCAGCTGGTACATCTACTCCCACGGCAGCCCAGCCAAAAGCTCCCGTGCCCGCAAAGGCAACACCCGTCAAAGCAAGGACACCACTTGGAACGCAGAAGACACTTCCAGTCGGCTCGAGCAAGCCAGCAGCTACATCCACACCCGTCAAGAAGACTCCAGCCACTGCAACCAAGACACCTGTCGGTAGTGCATCAAAGCCCACAGCTCTGAAGAAAGACACCCCAACCGCAGAGAAGAAAACCACCATCCCACCAGCCGTGAAGTCAGCGTCGACAACCAAACCAACCCCCATCAAGAAAACGCCCACCAAGACCGTGAACCCAGATGGTAAGACCCCCCCCTCCCCTCCCCATCCATCCCATACTAAACACGTACCTCCTCACCAAGGAACATATCCCACCCCCCTCTCCACAATAAAAGCTCATCCCGCAACCAGGCCAGACCTCCAAGCCCACGGGCGCTCTCTCCCGCACCGTCGCCACCGGCACCGGCGCGCTCAACAAGACCGTCGGCACCACGACCGGCACGCTCAACACCGTGACCGACTCCGCGACGAGTGGGATAAACACGGGGCTGAATACCGTCACGGGCGGGGTGGGCAAGGGCCTCGATGCCATCCCCGGCGGCGCGGGGAAACCTGTCAAACACGTGACGGATAACGTGGGCAAGACGGCGACGGGGGCCGCGGATAATCTGTACTACACGGCGGGCGCGGCGACAAAGGGCGTGCAGGGCACGGTGAGTAAGACGACGGGCGCGATTGGGCGGGGGGATGTCAAGGGTACGGCGGCGGGTGTGACGAGCGGTGTTGGAAACACGGTTACAGGCGTGGGAAGGGGCGCGGGGAACCTTGTGGGCGATGCGGTGGGCGGCGTGGGCAAGACGGTGGGTGGGCCGTTGGGGGATGTTGTAGGGGGTGTGGGGAGGGGTGCGAATAACGCTGTATCTGGGATTACTGGGGGGCTTGGGGAGGGCGTGGGAAAGTTGGGGAAGGGTGATGTTATTGGGGGTGTGGGGAGCACGCTTGGTGGTGTGGGTAAGGGGGTGAGCGGGCTGTTTGGGGGCTTTGGGCAGGGCGGGAAGGAGGAGGAGAAATGAAGGCGAATGGAATGGTGGTTGGAGACGGTGGAGGGGTGGGATACGCTGTCAGAGCAGTATTGGGAGGAGGTGGATGAGTATGTTTGACTGCTTGACTTGGTGTTTGTTCGAGGGATGGGGAGTTCTGGAGCTGTTGTGTGTAACGAAAGAGATCTGAATCTGACTGCCATTCCTGTCGCCGAAGCATAGCTACCTTGTTTCGAGTTGGAAATAAAGGGTATCATAATCATTCTGTCCTGCGAGCAGCGAGGAATGCTCCGGTATCTTCTTCTGTGATCTGCGCTGATGGATCTCACGAGCCTGGATTGACGCCTTGATCCTCGGTCTTTCGAATCAATCCTTCGCCTGGCTTCACTCGCTGCGCCCACTCTGTCCAGCTCCCATCATATAGCCGTCGCTGTTGAGTAGGATATCCAGCTTCGGTCAAGGCGGCGTCGATCACTGCTGCTGTGACGCCGGTTCCGCAGCTACTGATGATGGGCTTTGAGGCGTCGACGCCTTTTGACTTGAAAATAGCTTGAAGTTCTGATGCTGGCAGAAGAGTCTTGTCCTTCGGATCCAGGAGTTCGGTGATTGGCATTGAGATGGAGTACGGGATGTGACCAGAAGAAAGGCCTGTCAGTGTCAGTGAAACCGCTTGCAAATAAGACGTCGGCTACGACGAAAGGGTCCTTGTAGCTGATAACATGCAGTGTCTTGTGTTGCTGAACATACCCTCTCTTGGCTCCGGAAGCTTACCCTCCCATCTTCCTTTGCTTCTCGCATCCAGAATTTGTGTCTCCTCGGCGCCCTCCTTCTTCATCTCCTTTGCAAGCGCCTTGACCTCGTCGAACGCAATGACCTTGCTCTCGTCAAGCTCCGGGACAGGATACTCGGTCGGGGACGGCTCCTTTCCTTGGCCACTTTCTGTGGGGTAGCCTTCTTCAACCCACTTCTTGAAGTTATTCAACACATGGACATTCTCATGGCCAAAGACCTTTAACGTCCAGCCTACCCGTGGGGCACTGAAGATGCCGAGCTCCTTGGTGTCGTAAACAACCACGCTGTCCTCTCGGCGGATTCCCATATGCTGCATTGCTTCGGCGAAGATCTTGGGCGAGGGAAGCATGTGTGGATATGGCGAGTGCGGGTCTTTGACTGCGTCGAGATCGAAGAAGCGAGCATGCGGAATGCGCTGCTCGAGGAAGGTCTTATAACCATCGCGGCCATCGTTGGGCAAAAACCACGAGGCACATAGGGGAATTGTCCTCGGCGCAGTGGAGAGCTTGCTGTGAATGTTCTTCTGCAAAGCCGAGTTGAGTTCGGCGGGCGTGATAATGTATGTGTCTAGAGTGAACTGAGACGACATGGCGCGTCTGCTGGTAATCGAAGCAACTGGCCTGATGGAAGACGAGAGCGCCGACCGTGGTTGTAGAGAGCAACGGAAGCTTGAGACGAACATGGTGGAAGCTGGAGCAAAGTGTGGGGTGTCGGTCGGTTCAATTAGTGTGGGCGAAAGGAGCTTGTAGGGAAGATGCTGCGATAGGGCTCACGAGCATGCTAGCTTGGGTTCTGGCATGAAGAGCAGTCGTGCACCTGCGCACCTGGGCAATTTGGGGGCACCAGTGAGCGATGAGCGGGACCAGCAACCCATCCACTGGAACGGCGCTCTGCTTGCTGCCAACGGGTTCGCGTACTATCAATGCAGGTTGCTGTCAATTGCTGCTGTCAAACCACCAAACCTTGGGCACACCTGAAGGCGTCCGTATGGTGTCAAAGTGGCCCGCTCGCTCGTCATCCCCCGCCATGTGGAGTCTGCAGCATGCCAGAGCTCAGACCCTGAGTTTGCCAGGCCCGATTCATCGACGGAATTCTGCCGCCCTAGCACGACTCGTGTTTGTTGTCCATGCCATCTTCTGCCGCGTCTGGCGCCCTAACCACGAGCAAGTCCACAGCACGACACCATGAAGGTCACGATACGAGAATGGAACGCCGTCGCCGCCTGGCGCTGGGACATGCCCGACGACGATGTCTGCGGAATCTGCCGAAACCCGTACGATAGTACTTGTTCCAAATGCAAATTCCCTGGCGACGAGTGCCCGCTACGTGAGTTCGCCTTCGGACAGATCTATCTTCTGGGAACATGCTGACAGAATGCAGTACTCGGCGAATGCAACCACTCCTTCCACATGGTACGTCACGAGCTACATGACGTCCGCCGCGATGCCCCATTAACACTGCAGCAGCACTGCATCTTCTCGTGGCTGAAGCAAGAAAGCTCCCAAGAGAAGTGTCCCATGTGTCGACAGCGTGAGTAACTTCCCCGATGACATGGTTGTGGTTACTGATGTACAGTGCAGCTTTCAAATCGAAAAGCCAAGATGCGCCTGCTGCTGGGGATCAGCAAGCTCGGGAACCAGACACCAGTCCACTGTAAACCACGCACGATGACGAAGACAATGATGATGATTACGAAGATAATAGCGATAACCATCTGCCATACGGCGATACGCGAACAGAGTTGAAATGTGCGGGTTTAGTCACAGGGCAGCGTTCTTGTACCAGCACAGCTTTTGGTTTCGAGGATGGCGTATAACCGGCGTTAATGATACCCCTGAGAACCTTGGTAACGATGAGGAGGTGGAAGAACAGACTGCTTCTTCTCTTGCACATCTTCTGCATCGTGCATTCATTTTCACATGTTTATATGCACGGACCGTGTTCTTTATCGATAAGTGCCTGCGCAACGCGTGAGCGCGACAAGCTCCCGGAGCTCCACCTAGCTGCCGCCTACGACCAGTCTTCCGTTAACTTCACAATGTCTGCCAACCCAAGCCTGTCACGATCGCCTCCAATACCACACACTGCACATTCGCCTCGGTCACCCCCGCTTCACCAGTTCGAGGACCCTCCAGACGAACTATCCGAGGAACACCGCCCAGATGGCGGAGACGGAGACGAAGACGAAGGGGACGACGATATACCATACCCGGAGCCCAGCTCCGAGCAGACACTGCTGCCACCGCCAAATTTCAAGCCGTTCTTCACGCTGATCGAAGACACGACGTCTGGCGAACACTACCATCCATACGTCCACTATGTCTTCGCCGACGATGACCCTTCCATTGTGACTGCAGCATCAATGCGCAGCCTCGGGCTAGATGATACCAAGTACATGGCACACGAACCACAAGATGAAGATGTGAGACAGCAGAGCCAGGAGGGAGCCAGCGAAGATGGTGATGATCCCGTCATGGACTCGCCGCTTCCGCCACCCATACCCGGTGTCAGGGAACACTATATGATAGTCGACCTAGGCACCGACGGACGCACGATCGTAGATGCACAGTCCCTTTCGCCAGAATGGCAGATCACAGACAAAAGCATACGTACCGCCCCCTCCTTCGACGAATCCTCGCCTGATCAAGGCTACATGATACGCATAGCCGGTATCGAAATATCTGGCAAGAACAAAGGCAAAGGCAAGGGCCAGGCCGGAGATGATAAGCTTGGCGAAGCCCGAGAGAAGGCCCAAGACGATCTGTTTGGGGCATTAGACAGCCTGGTTCAAGATGTCGAAGGAGGACTGGAAACAGCTGCAAAGATCGCAGGCACAGCACCAGCAGAAGGTCAAGACACTGTCGTAGACGTGCGCGCCACAAACGAAGAGGAACATATAGCCAGTGAGACGTGATGTTCATAAGACGCTTGCGGTAGACCCAGTTTTCTGTCCACACCGCCGTTTACTACCAACTCGTTCTAGTCTTCGACCTCCACACCAGCGTCAAATTCACATCACCGTCCCCAAGGACCCATATGTACGATATGTATCAAATGATTCTCAAGTCCCCCATCGATTAGTCAGCTTGCTTGTTCAAGCAGCCAATACTCACGGCGTGGTGGCGGAGTGGTTATCGCGCAAGACTAGAAATCTTGTTCCTTCGGGAGCGCAGGTTAGTTCTACCACATCCCAGCCATCTACATCAAGCTAATCTTCCCTAGGTTCGAATCCTGCCTACGTCGTAAAAATTGGCTTTCTTTTTGCTCTCGTTGAGGCCTAGGAGGTATTTGGGTCGGGGTGGACTTTTTGCTTGGTGAGATGCGTTGGCGGGCGGAGGGAGATTCGCTTAGGTTTCCGGAAAATCTATTGGCGCAAATCCGTGGATCTCGATAACAAAAACCGAGGATTGAGCACCGCCATATGATTGCTCAGACTGGTGATTGACCGCGAGATTGGACCAAGTGATGTAGGGTCAACATGGCTGAGAAGCAGATCGAGTCAATCGCGTACATGAGGCCCGACAGCCACGCCCAGTCTCCCACATCATTGCATGTCTGGAATACAATACTGCTCTGCAATCTGTATACTTAGGTAGGATGGCCATGAAGGGAACTAAGCAGGCGCTTGAAGAGCTGGAATCAACAAAAGCTGGTTCGCAATCGTTCACCAAATACACTCTTCTCACACCCCCCTCTCCTCGTTCAACTCGCGATTAATCCTCGCACTTCCCTCCAAACCACCCAAAACAGCCTTCCCCTCCCCCGGAATCCTCATCTCAAACGTCTCCCTCACAACCGCATACTCATAATACCCGCACCTCGCAATCGGCTCCGTCTTACGCACATCAATTTTCCCATCCGTCAACACCCCCTCATCAATATGAATGCCCACAACTTTTCCAATCACCACGTCCACCGCCCCCATCGGCGGATCCCCCGGCAGCCTTAGCGTCGAATAATGCTCGCACTCGAACCTCACCGGCGATCTCGCAACCATCGGCACCTTGATTCTCTCCCCTTTTACACCCACACTGACTAGCTCACTATCCACCTTCTCCAGCCGCGCAATCTCAAACTCATCAACGCCGCTCTCCACGCCCTCGGCCGTCAAATTCACAGCCTCGCGCAGCGCATACGTCGCGAGGTTCCAGCAAAACACGCCCGTGGCTTCGGCGTTGACGACGGTGTCTTTTTGCGCGGCGCTGGGCGTTTGGTTGGCGCTGAACATTACGTAGGGCGGGGAGAAGGTCAGGTTGGTGAATTGCGAGTAGGGGGCCAGGTTGGGCGTGCCTGTGGGGGAGAGGGTGGATATCCAGCCGATGGGGCGAGGGATGACGCAGGCCTGGGTCTGGGGTTAGTTGGGGAGGGTTTTGGGGAGGGATGGAATGGTGACAGGGATTTGTGGAGATGGATCGTTGTAGGGTTCTTGAAAGGGCTGGAGTAGAAGTTACTCGAGCTACTTACTTTGAATGGGTCGTAAGGAAGACCGTGGTCTTCTTTTCCTGGCTGGTAGAACATGATGCTTTTGTGCTGTGTTGCCAATATCGATACCCAAAGTTCTCTGAACTCACTACTTTGGATCTTCAGACAATGTTTAGAATCACGTCGACGCGAAACATCTCTACTGATATGTATACTCACCAAGGCAGAGCGCTGGATAGCTGTTGCTGCTGCGGGGATCCATGTCCGGCAATTCTTACCGTATAGGGACCCTGAAGTTGTTCAAAGGCCACTAATGCATGCCATGCAGCAGTGTTGGGCCGATCTGTGTTTCCGGGACTAGTTCCGATGCTCAAACTTCCGCATTGGGGTTCGACTCATATTCATCAATCTACACGAGCATCAATCACTCCTAACATTAAGAGGGTTAAAATAGCACAGGCCGAATCGATTGTAATGCAAGAAACTATTCTCATTACCGGCGCCTCGTCAGGCCTCGGCCTCGCCTTCCTACGACACTATGCCACACAACCAACAACCCACCTCATCATAGCAATAGACATGAACCCTCTCCAAGACGACCTCATCGCCCTGTCCAAAACCTCCTTCTCCCAAGCAAACATCAGCAACGAATCCTCCCTCCGCAGCATCGCCACCGCCTTCTCAGGCACACCAATACACACCCTCATCCACTGCGCCGGCATCCGCGGCCTCTCAAAAACCGTTCTTGCGCACCAGACATCCGAAGGCACCCAAGACGTCGCCGCTGCCGAAACACTCCAAGCCACGACGCGCGACATCCTGCTGGAGACGTTCGAAGTCAATACCATCGGCACATTTAACACGATATCCTCCTTCCTGCCCAGCCTCAAACTCGCGCCAAACCCCAGAGTCGTAGTTCTGTCGTCGCGCATGGGATCCGTGGCGAGTAATTCGTCGGGAGGCGGGTATGCGTACCGTGCGAGTAAAGCCGCGCTCAACGCCGTGGTGAAGAGCTTGAGCATCGATGTGCCTGAAGGTGGCATTCTTGCTACTGCATCCGGGGCGGGTGGAGACGGGGCTGGTGGGGTGGAAGGAGGAGGGGGCGATTGGGGTAGAGGAGAGCTTGGGGGATTGTTTGAGGGTGATAGGAGGGATGAGGATGGGGGATGGGGTGAGGTTGGTGGATAGATTTGGGGAGCGGGATCTCCGCTGGTGAGAAGGGGGGTGATTTGTTGGACATTGGATAGAAATTGTGTGTCTTTTTGAGGATGGGATGTGCAGTATACAAACGCCGCGTACCTGGGGTATCAATATGAAAAGAGAGCCCAACATGCCAACAGATCTGTACATATACCCGACCAGATCATCCCAGGCAAATTGCGCCGGTCCAAGAACAGCAAAGCAATAAGAAAAAGACCCAAGAGCGACGAATCTTTCGCGCAGCTTTAGCCAATACTCCAAAGGCTCTCAGGTTGATGTCTTCTTGAGAAACTTCTCGAAGAACTCCTTGACTTGCTCATTCGCACCACCTAGATTTGTTCTGGGCAGGCCAATGACTTTGAGACCCTTTAGTGACCTTGCTCTACTGACTGTGCTTCTGTTAGCTTGATGCATATTACATGAAGGAGAAAAAACATACGAGCAACGTAAATTTGACTGGGCTCAAAAGCTCTAGACAGGTCGACAATGACACGCTCAAGAGTCATGCCCTGAGACTTATGCACCGTGATAGCATACCCCGCCATCAACGGTATTTGGGTCCGCGAGAGCAAACTGTAAGGCTCCTCATTACCAAGCTCGCTTGCCGTGGCGTCTGCGAAAATTGTTCTTTCCAGACCATTATCAAACTTCACAATCGGCCACGGTTGGCTTTTGTTCTGCTTGGCAAAGAACTTGATCTGCTCTTCGAAGTAACGAGCATATGTACCTCTGGTAAAATTGGCGTCGGAAGCACCAGCTTCATTCCTATTCTCTGGTTTCCGTGGCAGGCGCTTCTCGTCGAAAGGTTCGAATCCAATGATGGTGCCTTGTGAGCCGTTGACAAGACCTGCACTTGCATCGAGATTGGCCTGCAGGACAACTCGCATGCCTTCTTTCAGGTGCACGTATATCTCATACCTGTGCTCTTTAAGTGCGGCTAGTGTACCGTCTTCTCCTGGTCGCGCGTTTTTCTCCATGGATGTGTCGTCCTTATGGTGAGGCTTCCAATCAAAATGGTCTACACATTTGTAGGTGACTGGTTCAGCGGGGAGTTGACTAATGTTCTCATTGTTGACTCGGTCGACGTCATCGCGTCTGGCGAACAGCTTGATGGCTCCTTCGGTCTCTGACGTGTGGTTCAGCAGTATATGCCCGTGCGGCTTGAGTATGACACCGTCTGTCCGAATCTTCTGCAAAATACTGATAAACTTCTTGTCGCTCTGTCGGTGGATCTCTGTGAGGTTGATGTGTTTGAAGTTACACTCTTCCCAAGCTTTAGAGCGAAAAGCCCACTTGTCGATATCCTGAAAGACATCCTCGCCGCAGTGCTTGTTCTCGCAACGATATTCTTTAGGACGCCATTGGTTATCGCGGATTAGCTCCCAGCCGCATCCAATGCAGTATTGAAAAGGGCGAACAGGTGATAGTTGACAGAAATCACCTGTGACAATGACCTGAACGCCACCAAATGGTCCACCCCCACGTTTTTCTCCAATGGACGCCTTCATGATGTGGTTCAAACGCTCAAAAAGAAGGTTCTCCACCATACTGATCTCGTCAATGACAAGCACATCAGTTTTGTCAAAACGCTCCCAGACTTCTTTTCCACTGGCATTCTTCATGAGCGTAGCCAGCGATTTCTTCATGCTGTCCGGTGTCCAACCGGCGAAAGACCATGTTGTGACACCGCCAACATTGAGTGCAGCTAAGTTTGTAGGCGCCACTATCTTGACTCGTTTTCCTCGAAGCGACATCTGCTTGACAAAGGCCTTGAGTATGGTACTTTTGCCGCATCCAGCTGAGCCTGTGTAGAACACGTTGTGGCCTTCAAGTATTAAATCCACAACCTTCTGTTGCTCCGGCTTCAGGACAGGATCGGGATCCAAGGAAATTTCGGTGGCCTTGTGCGGACTCGCGGCATTAAATACAGCATAGGGCAGTTCCAGTTCTTCGTCAAGTTCAAGTGGAGGCTCGATCCCTAGTTCAGCGTGGCGCTTTTGTTCCATGATATTGATCTCTTGCCGGTAGATTCTTAGCGCTTCGGCATCGTACGGCGGTCGCCCTGGACCGGAAGCAGGATGACCATACAATCCGGAATGACCTTGCTGCACATAGTGCCACTCTGCCCTGTCTAGGTAGTCAGCCTGTTTGCGGGACTCTTGATTAATGGGCCTCTGATTCTCCCTAAACCAATCCACAGCTTCGGCACGTGTGGCAAAGGCTTTGTGCTTGGCGCCAGGGTACCCATCTGTTTGTAATTTTACTTTGTCCCATTCCGTATAAATCCCCATCTCATGACCAACAGCCACAGCATAGTATTTCTGTTTCTTCTTTTTCTGCGATGCGACGTGTTGCGGTGCTCTTTCAGGGCTGGAAGGTATCTCGAGCGGGTTGTGCTGAGTGCCTCTAGGGGGTTCCGACATTCCTACAGGCTGTTTGGCGACAGTATATGACTGTCGAGATTCTTGTCGTGCTTGAGGGTGTTCGAGGCGCCTGACTTTATGGTTCTGCAATAAAGGAGGTGGTGAACTGGAGCGTTTGTTCGTTGTACCCTCGTGTTTTCGGGAAGGTTCTGGTGTCCGGTCACTTTTCGCAAGCTTTGTTTTCTCGTATAACGCTGCTCCAGGTAGAGAGGGTGCTCCCGGAGTGTGTGAGGATGTCGTATATGGTATTGGAATTGGTCGATCCAGAAGTGCAAATGAACCCGTAGAAGGCACATAGACCTGCGGCATCTCTACCTCACGAGCTGCTTCGCGAGGACCCGTACTCTGATGTGTTTGCGCTCTCTCTTGTGCCCATCTGTGGTATCTGTCAATGTCTGCTGCCTCAGGGTAATTCCGCTTCTTGGACTCCATGCCCTGGGCGTCGTGTCTTGGTGCTATTGTAGGAAGGACGTTTTCGGATATGTATCTCGCTGGGTACTGCCCTGTGTAATGGCTATGAGGAGCCGCTGGCCAATGTTGAGGGACGGTCGTGGAGGATGCGGCTTGCGGCGGAGCGTGGTGTGGGGGTGCCGCATAGGCATGGGGAGGAGCTTGGTGTGGTTGATCAATCCCTAGAGCAGCATCTATGTTATAGCATCAGTATTCTGACCTATCAAGTCGCACTCGAATCGTGAAGGGGAGCATGTACACTCGTAGGGCATAGGATGATGGTATGGGTCATTCAATGGTACCAACTCATATGATTGACAAGTAGCGGTAATGCTTGTGTAATCTAATCACGGTATCGAGAAAGTAAGTTTTACTAGAATTGATGTCCGAACACAAGTAGATCGAGCGCTTTTAGTCGTGGGGCGTATGACGATGAATGTACCCGCAAAGTTACGCGAGCCGAGATCCAGTCGCGAAGCACACGCGAACTCACGCGCTAAAATGGTTCCCGGCGGCGTCCCGGTAGTGTCCCGTGTGGGGTACGACCGAAACTCGAGACGTTCACGGTTGGAGCCCTCAGACTTGAACATCGTCTCATCGAGATTGTAGCGCTGAAATGTTTGTACATTATAATGCTCTTGACTTCTGTCGTCGTCGACCTGCCGTCATTCTCTTACGTCGTTGCACCGCGACCATGCTTGCCAGGACTTCATCGGTGAGCGAAGGAGACTGACTTGAACTTCTGATCGAGCAGTCATGCCCCTTACAATCTAGCTTTACATATAATGGCACGACTCTAGTAGCGTGCGTGTTGTATAATTTGATGATATTCATATCCTGCGAGAGTCACAGTCACACCAAAACATCAACTCTGGGAATGCTATTATTTAGGTCGAACACAACACTGAAGAGGTCAGACTTGCCATGTCCTGCAGGCGGGTGGTAGACACGAAGTAATACGGTTGGTCTGTATACGTATCTCGCACTCCGACCCGTGTCTTTGAATGTGCAGCCGACCTCGCGAATTTATCGTTGGACGAGCAGCACATCCTAAGCACATACTCACAGTGTTCCCTGTAGATATTCGCAGTTAGATAATTTGAATTATAAAGTGCAAATTCCGCAAGTACATCCACGATCCTCGTTGCCTTGGAGCTATGAGCAGCTCTTCTCTTGGATTACTCTTTCGACGACATGCCTGAGGAAAGGCAGCCAACTAGAGTTTTTTTTGTATGTCCAGCGCAACACCCAAGCAGGGTCTATCTCCAGCGCCTGCTGAAATTGTTCGAAGTCATATATGAGAAGGTCAAAGCCCAAGAAATCCTACGAGAGCATTTAGTCAATTCACTGATCAAGTTGCGAACAGCTTCGAAGTATCTCTTGAGACCCATTTCATGTATGTACTATCTGACTACTATCTCCATTCCAGCAAGTTTGGTGGCAGTGACCCCATCAAGGGTATGGAGCCAAACCACCGTCAAGCAAATGTTCTCGGATCGTGAATTCATTACTCGCGACCGTGAACTGAACTTCAGGCTTGAAACTGCAGAAGTGCAGTCGTGCCGATTGTATCTTGTGCTTGCCGAGAAAGCACTTTTGTGTGAGCGAAGGAAGGAACGAAGCATCTACCAGGAGGCAACCTTGTCGCTGGTATCGACAGAGAAACCACCAGTGTCGGCGCCGAATCCCTCATCACCGCCACCAAATCCACCAGCGTCATCGCCAGCATCACCGTCGCCAAAGCCAGCGTCGCCACCGAAGCCTCCACCGAAGCCAGCGTCGCCTCCAATGCCGCCATCAGACTCATCGTCGGTGCCGTCGTGCCACTCGATGGCCTCAGGGTTCTCGGGCTTGAACTGTTCGAGAAACTCAGGAATCTCTTGCTTGGCCTCAATGAGGATCTTGCAGAGGTCCTCGCCGAGGTCGTCGTTGCGGTCGTTGAAGAACGAGGTAGCCTTGCCCTCATTGCCGATACGCGCAGTACGGCCAATGCGGTGAATGTACTCGGTGATGCCTCCATGCTGAGTAGAAGGCAGGTCGTAGTTGATGACGTGCTTGATGTTAGCGACATCGAGACCACGGGCACTCACGCCGGTAGCGACCATGATGGGGCAACGGCCAGTTCGGAATGAACGTCTAGTCATGTCAGCCATTGTTGATGATCCTGAGAGTTGGAGACGTACAGAGCATCTTCACGCTCGCGCTGAGTACGGTCAGAGTGCATCGAAGTGACAGGCAGGCCCTTGTTGTAGATGAAGTCATCGACGGTGTCGCACTTGAATTTGGAGTTGGTGAATACAAGGATGCGACCCGGCTCCTCAGAGAAGATGAGGTCGAAAAGTGCCTGGTTCTTCTCACTCTCGGCGACGTAGACGATTTGCTGCTTGATGTTCTCGTGGGTGCTGCCGACGCGGCCAACCCTGGTGCAGTGTCAGTAAAAGTTCAAGATATAAAAGGTAAATTGCTTCAGGTTACGGCACTTGATATGAGGCCCTGAAGGTGTACACAGGGCCTTCAAACTTACTTAATACGGACAGCGTCTTCCTCCATATATTCCTTGGCGAGACGACGAGCCTCCTTGGGGAACGTCGCGGAGAACATGAGGTAGGTGTGATCACCATCGCTGTTGATGTCTGCATACAATGTGAGTGATTGGCAGAGGAAGTAGGAGGGATGTAAAACGTACCGCCACCACCCTGGAACAGCTTCTCCATGATCTCCTCCCAGCCATTGGAGAGGAGTTCATCAGCCTCATCGATGATTGTGTACCTGAAGTCATATTAGATACAATTTTAGAATGTGAAGTGAGGAATTGACGTACTTGAGACGCTTCAGGGAGAGCAATGAGATGTTCCCCATGAAGTCCATCAGACGACCTGGGGTGGCAATGAGGATGTCGCAACCCATCTCAAGCTGCTCGCGCTGGTTCCTGCTGGGAGCACCGCCGTAGATGACGCAAGGACGTAACATAGTGCGGTAGCACAGGCGACGGGCCTCATCGAAGATCTGGCAAGCAAGCTCGCGGGTGGGGCAGACGACCAGCACCAGAGGCTCAGCGCGAACGCGGTCAGTCTGGGGGTTGTAGCGAGCCGGGTTGGGACGAGGCGCGGCAAGCTGGCGAGCCTTGCCCATCAGCCTAGACAGGATGGGAATGAGGAAGGCCGCGGTCTTGCCAGAACCTGCAGTGTGTCAGTGACAATGGACGCGTGATAGAACGGGCTGAAGTGGCTCACCAGTCTGAGCAACGCCGATAACGTCGCGTCCAGAAAGAACAGCCGGAATACAGTACGACTGAATCGGCGTGGGGAATCTATACTGGCAGAGCTTGATGTTCTCGCTCATGACTGGATGAAGACCAGCGTCGTCGAACTGCATGTGGTCAGCACCTACTACGAAGAACACACAATATTGAGAAACTCACCTCCTTAACAGGCTTGACCGGCTCCGGACCAGTAACTTCGACGTTGTAGTTACCGAGCATGCCGAGAGATGTACCAGCACGCTGAAGGAACTCGTCGGCGAAGAGCATCTTCTCGAGCTCCGGATTGGGCGCGCCAACGTCGCCGAAATCGTCGTCCCAGGCGTAGATGACGGCGTCGGAAAGCCAAGCAACGGTATCGCGCGACTCCTCGGGGTCGGCAGTACCGGGAACTGCAGCCTCATAATTGAAAGGGATGGGATTGGCCCAACCTGCAGCCTTTGCGCGAGCGAGGTCCTCAGCTTGCTGCGCCTTGCGGGCAACACCAGCCTCGTCGAGACCGGCATGCGAACCGGCGTCAGACATGGTAGGTAAGTAGAGAGTGAGAAGTAAAGAAGTGGTTGAGCTCGTCAAGGTTGAGTCGAGGGTAAGGGTTGAGCGAGATGGAGTGGGAAGAGAGGCCGTCAGTGTACTGTTTATGTACACAGAGAGCAGCAACTGTTGCAGGCGCTAGTGGGCCAAGCTACGCTTTGACAGCGACCACGATAGCCAGTAGCGGGCTGCTTGAGACAGAAGGGTTGCGGGGTGGGGTACCACTAAAGCCGAAGTAATAGCGGAGAAGCGAGAGGGACTCGTCTGGGGAAATGGGGGTTGTTTGAAGAAGGAGATGGTATAAGCGGGGATAGATGACTGAAGATGGGTGCTTATCAAGTGAGGCAGCGACGATTCAGCAAGACGGGCAGGTACGCTCTTAGCTAGTGGTGGATGGTGATAGTCACATATAGCAGCGATCATAAGAGACCGACACACACCACAGTAAAGCTGAGTTCAATATTGATGGTGAAATACGTGTGCCACCATGATAGAAAGACAAGACAGAGGAACCAATATGCTTGCTAGATGACTACATGTATTCGACAAAGGGACATTACGCGCGATCCATAGAGTACCAACAATTGACTAGGCGCACACTCTCTTTCTTGAGAGCACCCTTTCCAGTGATTTGACAAGACGCTCTTACAATGCCTAGATGCGGACAACGATGTGACGTGACGGTAATCGACCGCGCTCGACTCGCAACTCAAGGAAAGACCGAAAACAGAAAGCGATACGACATGCCACTACTTTATGATAGACGAGCGTACTTGTGAAATGCGATTACAACGAAACGCTACGTGCTGTGTCAGAGAACAAGGTCGTACCGCTCCTCTTGCTTCGCCAAGATGTAATGAGTCTTCGCATGATTGGAAAATAGCGTGTGAATTATGAAAGAGATGACGTACTTCTCGGATCAAGTGCATCCAACTGTGATGCTACGCATCCGTGCAGGCTCAAGGGCATCACAGCGTGACATGAAGGCACAGCAAAGCTGATAAAGCCAGCATATCCAGGGCTTCCTCAATACCTGACCGACGATGCGCGATGGCGGCGGCGTATGGATTATGACTTACAACGAGGACGTAGAGGACTACAGCCCTCACCGCCTCCAATGTAGACATGTCGTTAGACGCGGCTATGCCATTTGTGGCGTCGAACCAACCTGAGTCGTGCATTCGCTAAATGGTTGATGCATTCCCAGCATCATGAGCCATACAAGCGACTGTCTTCGACATCTGCTAATTACTGTTACCGCCGTACTCCAAGTACGAGAGACTGGGCATGCTGTTTCGGTGCTGGGGCTTGGCCATCGTTATCACAGCGTAGGAACCGACCGCTGCGGCAAGCACTTTCCACGACGATTCTATGACTACTCCACCACCAACTCCGTGCCTGTAAGCTCGACTACGCTGCAAGCTCCATGCACAGCTCCTAGAACAAACGATGTTCTAGCGCCGACATATGGGGACATGACTCGCTCACACGAACGAATGTGCCGCAGCCACGAGATCGATCACGCCCGCGAGGCCACAACGGCAGCGTACGAGGAGGGATATGACACGCAACTCGCAGTCATGGGAAGCCATGCATGGGCTCCAGCAAGGGACCGCAAAAGGCATCATATAGCCCGAGAGGCCGCGACCCGCCATACCACATCGTCTGGACAAGCCGCACTGGAATGCGCACAAGGAGTGACACGGCCACTAGCCAGAATGGTCGCGCATGAGAGCTACCCGACCGCTTACATTGCTGTCTCAGGTGTAGGAGCGCTACGCGATGTAGACTGAAGAGAGCGCCGGAACAATAAGCTCAAGCGCCAGCCCACACACTACCCGGCACAGCCCAGGCAAGCCGTGTAAACATCCACACTACAACATGCGGACGAGGTGCGACAAGCCAGTCGGGAACGACAACGGCACGCGAACCAGAGAGCCCGCAGTAGCGGGCAACACTCCCCATCTACAATGTCGAGCGCTCAGCAACAGATGATGCTGGATTGAGCAGCATGTTGCTATACACCAGGATAGCTTGCCTCACCTCAGATTTGAGACGAGGCTTTACACGAGCTATCGCATCAGCACTGGGGTGAAGTCCCCTTAGCTGCCCGCCGTGGACGGGAGGATGGCAAACCACGTGGGCATGATCGGCCTTCGCTAGACACCATGCGAGCGACAGACACTTAAAGTTCATTGGTCTGTGTAGTCTGTAAAGACCTACGTCTCGAGCAATCCGTCGTTTTGTGACGATTATCGGTCGTGGGCTTGTATCAGGCACACACATACATTGCTGTCTCTCTATGCTTTTCGCAACTAACACATCTTCGACTACGCCTCTGGTGAGGTGTCAAAGACCTGAATGAAGCAGCGTAGCTCGACTCGCTGTCGAACACAACTTCTCAAGCGGCATGGTTACATCCGATCAACATGGCGACGGCAGCCCACCGGAACTCAATCACTGAAGACAGTTTCTTGAAAGCCGTTCTGTGGTTGCCGTCCGTAGCTCTTTACTGTGGCGCGTGCATGATCAAGTTGTGCAACACTACCTCTAGTCTCAAAGCAATCGATGGATTGAAAGAGCTAGGATGTGATACTAAAGAAATCGGCCTGCCATAAAGGTATAGCAATTGTACCCTGAAGCTGTCCAGACTCGTTGCGAGTGAGTCCGTACAGTTTGTGCGACGACGTTGCGGACCAGTCATGTACATTTCGCATATCGTGGAGATGATCAAAGCCTCGCCTGCCACAATACAAGGGTCAAGAGAGGATATCATGCTTCATTATACTGCTATGTAGGTTCCCACAGCCTCGTGTCTGCGTCCCTCACAAGCACTCGACCGGACTATGTGGCTTTCAGCCCATACTTTTGGGCTAACCATCAGCCGATGATGTTGTTGCAGCGTATGCTACTGAAGCCCAGACCCCAGAGGTTCTCGTCGAGCTTCAGGGGCTCGTAGTTTGCGCCCTTGTTATAGAGCGCACCGGCGGCCTTGGTGGGTGCTTTGTCGGTTGCGGCGGCTCGCTTCTCCTGCTCGCGATACCTGGCGACGGTGACCTTGGGGTCTTCAAAACCCGAGATGTCGTTGCTGACGAAGGGATTCGTCGCCATCGTCTTCTCTCCAACTGGCGGTGCAGAGGGATTGGTTCTGGGCCATTGTAACGGCGCGTGGAGTCTTCGAAAGTACGTTGTCTACACAAGGTGTCAATCACAGTACTCCTTCAGCCCTTGAACTGATACGAAGCCTATCGTATCGTCTGAAAGAGTAATTGCTCCGTCGCCTCAACGTCACACTATGGGAGCTGGGTGGTTACGACATGCGGCCCCCGTATCGAAAGTATGCCCCCACTGCTACAAGGAGAGTGCCAGTGCCGCGAAGATCACTCACGGGGTATCTATGGGGTTCTTAAAGCGTGCTTGAAAGTTTGCAAGAGCGCGTCGAAGATCGTGGCTTGATAGTTGTGGTCCTGCGGATCTTGCGGTGGTGAGAGTAAGAAAATTACTCAGATCCCAGTTGATCTGTGGGATCAACTGCCGTAGTGGCCCCGGTGGTCACTTCACATCCTAAAAAAACTTCAGTAAAGCTCTATGAAGGACCCGGCAGATCTCCGTGAGTACCGTCAAAGTTCTAAGATGTGAAGAGACGATAAGCACGTGCTACAAGATCAAGGCAGGGCGTAAATACACGGCTCAAACCCAACTCTGGCAACTTAGTTGCCTGAGGTTGTATAGTAGGTCACGATCACATAGCAAGTTCCCATTCTAGTATCATTCACACCAATGGAAGTAAGCCCGCTGCCGAAGATCGAGGGGCCGGCTCGAGTACTACGAACACATTTTCACATCCACAAGAGGCCGGACTCAAAAATCTTTTGTTACTACGTCATTTACTCCGTAAACGGGGCAGATTGCAGCAACAGCCAAAGTCTCGTCCGACAAAGCGCAGTCAAGTTCCATGCTCAGAATCATCGTCCATTCGTACATTCGTCTACCTCTAGAGTATGCGTACCCAAACACCCCAATCCGCCGCAGATAATGGGAAACCTCGAAGATCGCAGTCTTAGAATTACAGTTCCTCTCCTCCTTCGTGAATGTGTAGGCAAAAGCAAAGTACGAAAGCATCTGAGAAGTACGCTTCGATGGCCCGATTGGAATTGCACGTTTGGCCTCAAAGGGATGAAATGAGCACGCCCAACTTGCGCTTTCGGGATCTTCAATAGCAGGGCTTCAGAAACCACGCAAATAAATACTCTAGGGCCATATCTGAATCCTATTGCGGCTACCTGTGGTGGCAAAATGCAGCCAATAATGACACCCATAAACTTTTCAAAAATCCCTTTTCAAAACTGGTGTACGATAACGGGTCAGTTTCCATCCAGTCGAGTCGGTGTCTCCTGCATATTCCCGCGAACTTGAGTCAGACCAATTCATGGTCGCCTTGGGCTTGAAGTTTAGGGCCACGCCGTCGTTTTCGAAGCGATACATCCCCTAGACCCAGCACACCAGATCAAGCTTTGATCAATGACCGAGGATCCATTGTGTCTGCGCAAGAAAGACCAGCAGACGTTCAAACAAGCTTGACGGCGCAGGTTCGGGGAAACCGCAGTTACTGGGTTTGCTGATGTTGATCGGCACCGAACCTTGTAGGGTCGAAGATCCTCGTATGTACCCGCGTTCCCGCCAGCCTTACAGGGCTGTTCCATCATGCGTACGGCCAGACGTTGGACAGCGATGCCCAGACGCCAGCAATAATGATCATTACATAACATACGATTACCGATTCGTGAAGCGATAATCTATCGCGACTAAACGCCAGGCTCATTCGCGATGTGGGCAGCCGCGGAGAGATGACTCGCATAGCAGAGAGGCCTCGGACAATGAATTCGCATGTGCCGAACCGTCATCCATTCTGTATCCGCGTATCCGCCCACGGACTTGACCGAGAATGGATGTTATTCGCGTTTACGCGTTTGTTGTAAGGCCCACCGTGTCACCCCATCGGCTCAAAGTTCAGCCGCAGCGCGAAGTCTTGCCTCTGAGACCTGAGAATAGCCTGCGACCCGCATCGCGAAATTGCTTCTACCATCGAAGCTACAACCCGTGTCCTTTGAATCGATCTCCATGCAAGAGCTACCTGTAGTAGGCCAGGAAAGCTATGCTGGAAAACGGTACTCACTGAAATTCTTGTTCCAGATGGTGCTGCACTCTAAGTCTGTTCGCAACGAATTCAGGGTTCAGAGTCCGAGGATGCGCGTCCGAAACCGGGATGGTTGGCGCCATGAGCCCCTGACATCGATCACAGGAGGTGGCCTTACGTAGCCGATGTGGACGGTGCTCTCATCACCTCTCCACTTCGGTTTCTCGTACTAAACCCTGTCAGGATGAGACAAAAAGTCTGCTGCCGCCATAATGCATCCCGCAGGCAGCCACAGTTGTCTTGGTCCTGTCACCCGCCGCATCATTCAGGAGATCATTATGCTGCGCTCTTCTCTGGTCTCTCTTTATGATAGGAGTCCGACAAGCCACAATGAGTTAAAGATTGGGCGTGTTGGTTTATATAATCGAACAGACATATAATGGGCTGCAAGGTGACTACGCCGCCGGATACTCATACCGTGCAGCCGGGCTCAGACCATAGCCAAGACGTATACGCTTCATGTTCATCCAGGATCCAACGCTTGTCCATCAGCAAACCAGCCTTTAACCGAAATAACCTTATCGATTCCGACTCCTTCCAACGCGGGCGACTCACCGGTCTCTAAATCCTAGCAGGGCGTCACACTTAAGCGTTTGTGTCAACGCCATTTCCAAGCCTGGTGCTCCCAGCGGCACAGTTTCTGGACGCCACACCAGCCGTCATGCCAGGTCCAGTTAGCACTGTCGGCCATGCCGCCAATGAAGCGCTGCAAAAGTACACCAGTTCTTGTTCCTGCGTCTGCCGTGACCCGAAGTAGACACTACACGATGGGTCCAGGTGCTTTGCCGTCTCCATCATGCGTGATGGCTTCATACCAGCGGGCGGCACAGTCAAGCCCCCGGCTGGTCATGCAGGTACCGTAACAGCAGCCCGTGGACTAGATATATCGTAATTTCCCTTTGTATTTTCTCTTTCGATCTGCACTGCTTTCCAGTTCATCTTCAGTCACTCTTTCGAGGCTCGATCTTAATTGCAAGCATTTGCTTGCGTCCTTTCGTTGAGTCCGCTCATCACGATCTTTACTGGCCCCGGCCGTCCATTCACTCAGTTACGTATTCACGTTATTATAATAATCTCATAATTATGCGCTCGTTCAACCATCTCCCGCGCTGCTGCCGCAGTCGTGGCCCTTACCTCCACCGTCTCCGCAGTCTACGCCCCCGGCGGCAGCAACAATGTTGTCATGTACTGGGGACAGGGAAATGACCAGTACCCTCTCTCGGTTGCATGTGCTGACCCTGCCATTGATGTTGTCACCCTTGGCTTTGTCAATGGTTTCCCCTCCAAGGAGGGCGAGTACCCGGCCACCAACTTTGGTACAGAACATGCACACTCTCTCCCTGAGCTCGGCTGACACATCACAGCTAATGCATGCTGGGGTACCTACTACCCTGACCCTTTTGACTCCGAGAAGAAAAGCGGGCTTCTCAAGGATTGCCCAAGCATCAACGAGGGCATCGCTGTCTGCCGCAAGAACAACAAGAAAGTCCTGCTTTCTCTTGGTGGAGGACTGCCCACCAACTACTACCTACCAGACGAGAAGACCACTACGTGGTTTGCTAAGTTTCTCGTTGGGGCTTTCGGGCCCAAGCAGGACGGCTGGACGGGACCCCGTCCTATTGGCGATGAATTCGTCGACGGTTTCGACCTCGATCTTGAGGCTGAGGCTTCGAAAGTTCCCAGGCCAGAACTCATCTCCGCCAACTACGGCTTCCTCGTCAACGAGCTGAAGCGTTTCAACAACGACTTTCTCATCACCGCAGCTCCGCAATGCGAGGTTCCTGACATTCGCCTCTTCGATGCTATCAAGAACGCGCATTTCGACATGATCTTCACTCAGTTCTACAACACTCCCAAGTGCTCGGCGAGACAAGGATTCAAGGAACTCACGCCCAAAAAGGGTGATCCTCCCTCTACCTTCACCTTTGAGAACTGGGCTGTCTGGCTCAGCGAGAATTCAAAGAACAAGGCAGTCAAGCTGTACTTGGGCTTGCCAGCCAGTCCTAAAGGTTCTCCTTCTTACCAAGACCATTACCTTAAGCCTAACGAGGCCAACGATTTGGTCGCCAAGTGGCGATTTGCTCAGAAGACTTCACCCTTCTTTGGTGGCATCATGCTCTGGGAACACAAGGTCTCTGCCGACAACGTCATCGACTGCAAGAACTACGGCGCGTGGATGAAGGACATCCTGAGCAGCAAGTTTGGGTCTACATGGACTAAAGGATGTGTCAAGACCAGCTCTTCCGCTACCGTGGCTTCGTCCACCAGGCTTTCTTCCACCAGGGCTTCGTCCACCAGGCTTTCTTCCACCAGGGCTTCGTCCACCAGGGCTTCTTCCACTAGGGCTTCTTCCACTAGGGCTTCCTCGACTCCTGCTTCCTCCACCTTGGCGTCATCTACTCGCGTCTCTTCGAGCAGTGCATCCTCCACCCCTGCTTCGTCAAGCATTGCTTCCTCCATCCCCTCTTCGTCAAGCATCGCCTCCTCTACATCCGCTTCTTCAAGCATTGCTTCCTCCATCCCCTCTTCGTCTAGCATCGCCTCCTCTACATCAGCTTCTTCAAGCGTCGCCTCGTCCATCTCAGCTTCTTCAAGCATTGCCTCCTCCACCGCTGCTTCGTCCACCGCTGCCTCGTCCACCGAGTCTTCTTCAAGCATCGCTTCGTCGACCCCCGCCTCTTCCGCACAGGGTTCATCCACTATCGCCTCTTCCTCCACCGTCTCGACCACCTCTGCCGCCGTCTCCCCAACCGCCACCATGCCCACTGTTGATGGCCACTGCGGTGACCAAGGCCATGGCATCGTCTACACTTGCCATGGATACAACAACGGTAACTGTTGCAGCCAATACGGTTACTGCGGTGGTCTTGGAGATGCCGGAGCTGCCTACTGTGGTGAAGGTTGCAACCCCTTATTCGGTGAGTGCGACAACACCTCGCAGAGCAGCTCTGTTGCCTCTTCGACATCTGTCGCCTCTAGCTCGGTTGCTTCTTCTAGCACTGTGGAATCTTCCAGCGCAACTGAATCTTCCAGCACCGTTGAAGCTTCCAGCACTGTTGCCTCTTCTAGCTCGGTCGCTTCTTCAAGCGCTATTGCGTCAAGCTCTGTCGCATCCAGCTCGATAGTCTCATCCACCGCCACTTCTGCCTCGTCTTCTGCTTCAGTCTCTTCCAGCTCGTACTCTGAGACCACCCCTGTTGCTACCTCGTCCGCCTCCCAGTCTTCGGTCATCGAGTCCAGCACTCTTTCTGTCCCATACCCGTCAGGAAACATCACCTACACACCTTATCCTACCGGTTCGGCCAGCATTGTCTACCCTGAGGACGTTAGCAAGTCTCTGTACCCCCATTCCAGCCAGACTTTGACCTACTCGTCCCAGAGTGGTGTTCACTACCCAGCTGGAAATGCAACTACTCCTTGCACCACTTCTACCGCAGCACCAAGCTCCAGTTCTCCTGCCCCTATGTACGGTGCTTCATCAAGCGCACCTGCTCCTGTCTATGGTGGACAATACCCTCCTTCAGTCACCAGCATGCCCGGTCAGAACTACCCCTCTTACCCTGCCAGCTCTACCGTGAAGGTCATCACCACCACCTACGTTGACGCTTGCGAGACTGGTATCACCACTAAGACCGAGACCATCACCCAGACCGTCTGCAACAAGTGCAAGGGCGACTCAGTCACCTCTGTCTACGTCTGCAACAAGTGCGGCCCAGCTGTCGTCACCTACACCATCACCAAGCCCGCTTCTCCAGCCACCGACGTTCCCGTCGTTCCTACCATGCCCGTACAGCCATCCAGCCCTAGCCACGGTGGTGACAAACCTCAGTCTCCTGCAAAGGAATCTACCCCAAGCTACGGAGGTGAAAGGCCTCATAACACTCCTACCTATGAGGTCCCCAAGAAGCAAGAGGTCCCAGGCGCGTCTACCACCGTTGAGATTGTCTATATTACCAAGACCCCTATCCCCATGGCGCCTACTGTCCAGCACACCCCTGCCATGCCCTACCCATCTGCTCCCGTGCAGAATGGTACCAGCGGCTACCCTGTCAAGCCTTCTGGCACTGGTGTTGCTACTCCCACTAAGCCATCGTCGTACACTCCTCCAGCTCAGTTCACCGGCGCCGCGTCTCACCTCAGCGCTGGCATGGCTGGTCTCTTGGCTGTTGTTGCTGGCCTGTTTGTCTTGTAAACAAATTTCTTTTATGTAAATGTGGGGGGACCTTGTTTGAAGATATTATGATTGTAGGAAGACAATGTGATATGCTGTCACTTGTATTCAGATGATTTAAGTATGCCTAAGGAATATTATCATCTATCAAGTAAACCGTGCTATCATGTGTTGAACTATGGGGTGATTGGGAGGTGTAACAATCACCTGACCTG